ACTGCCCTGAGAAATGTCAAGAAACTATGGCAGGATTGCATAGATATGGACAGAAAAAGTCTGAAAAGGGTTGCAAGAGAGAGATCAACAGCACTGAGATGCAACAAAGCGTAAAAAAAAAAAAAAAGTGAAAAATATTGTTTAATTAATTTTGTATTACACGGCTATTGTTCGTATACACAGTGCCTTAGGAAAATGATTCTGTTCAGTTACCTTTAGTGAAAACTGCAAGTCAAAACCACCAGTGATAAAAAGATATAGGTAGCTAAAATCTCGACTTTGTGTACAATTTGATGTGGTCACATTCTGAGCATCCCTACATGCCCTATGTGACAGCCAGCCTCATTCAGCAACAGGCAGGCTCAAGCGGCAGGGTCAACTTTTACATAAAGAGTTAATATTTGCATTTAACTTCAGTTGCTTATGTCTCTTGTTCTACTTTTTTTCAAATGATGTGATCTTTGAAGGTGACCTATGTTCATGTTAACCATATGCTCAGTTAGAATTACCCAGATTTGTGATATACTAGGAGTAGAAGTCTGAGTACTTGGAGTAGTTCAATCTTGTTTTGAAATGGGACAGTACTAAAATGTCAAGCAATCTCCTCTCATTCCTAATATGGCCATGATAAGGCAACATTCTCAATAAAAGGTAATCTTGAAAGAAAGATAACCACAAAAATAAAACAAAGTGCAAAAAAAAACCCATAATTTGATTTCTGAATTATACTGAAACTGAAACAGAAAAAAAAGGATGCAAAAAACTTTAAAGATTACATAAATCCCAGATATTAATTATGTGCAAGAGATCATTTTACAATGTGAATGAAGCATCCATAAAATAATTTTTGTGGTGAAGGGGTGAAATATGTTCTGTGCTTGCTTAAATTAGATGTGTCATGTATTTTGCTGCATCTCTCATTTCATTAAAACATACTGAATTTCCAGGGCATTGCACAGAAGTCACATTATGTAATTTAGGTGCACTGACCTACTGTGAAATCCATTACCCAGAAATCTATCAAGCACAATGCAGCATTTCTAAAATGCATGCTAACACGTGTCAACACAATGGACATTAATTCTGGTGTAACATATGGTGAAAAAAAATGTTAAAATGGGTCACTAAACTAGCAGAATTTTCAGATTAAAAACCACATTGAAAAGTTGAAGCTTGAAGTAAATACTATAGAAAACTTACAGTTTTAAAAGATCCAGGTGTGACCTCCTCTTCGATATTGACCGCTTTCTAGTCTCTGGTTCAGATGTACATGGCCCAGAAAGGTCAAAGAGCCTCTGAGGACTGCTAAGCATCTAAAATTTGAAATCAGATTATTAAGCACATTTGTCATAGAGTCACCACACAATGATTTTATGACCAGCAAGAAGCACTCTTAGGGACTAATTCACTGATACGCATAACACATTTAAAGCAGGAACAAAGAAGGTGTGTTTAAGAGAAATTTTCCATGTATTGTCTGCTTGAGAACATTTGAGAAAGACAAAGTCAACACTGTAATGTGAGAATGTCATGACACCGATATTTGTTTTAACCACTTCCAGTCCGGACACTTTTACCCCCTTCCTGACCACGACAATTTTCAGCTTTCAGAGCTATCACACATTGAATGACAATTGCGCGGTCATGCAACACTGTACCAATATGAATTTTTTACCATTTTTTTGAGACAGATAAAACTTTAATTTGGTGGTATTTATTCACCGCTGCGATTTTTATTTTTTTTTCTATGTAAATGTCCAAAAATTTTGGAAAAAAAAAGTGTTTTTCTTATAAAATTTTGCAAATAAATAATATTTCATCATAAATCTTGGCCAAAATTTATTCTGTTATCTTTTTAGTAAAAAAAAAAAAATAAGCCAAATTAGTTTATGACCAAAAATTATAATTTTTAAGCATTTTTATATATTTTTTATATTTATTTTATTTTTTTACATACGGTCACCCTAGCAGTACAGTGTCACCATGGTGACAGTGTACTACTTTTGGGGAGTGATGAAGATTTTTTTTTTTTTTTTTTTTTTTTTTTTTACACGGATTGCTTTTACACCCATATAGGATGTAAAAGCAATCATTTCTCTTTCTCTCTGTCTGCATTCTTGCAGCCATTGAGAACTACTGAGTGAGCTGTGATTGGTCACAGCATGTCACATGGTACAAGGCTGTTGTGAATAGCCTTGTACCATGTGACCTCTGTGATCATTCACAGATTTCACACGTAGTAAGCAATGATGTCAGAACTGACATCTTGCTTACTACTTTGCATGTGATCACTGATTGGCCAATCAGTGATTACATGATCGGGACTTCGTACAGAGGTCCCGTCCGACGATCGGTGTTTCACTGTGTCCAGAGGACGGGGAGCGCGCACAAGCAGGGTGCAGGGAGGCCATTTATAAACGGCCACCCGACCCTGCACTGCCACCGTCCAGCCGTTTATATACAACGGCCGGTCGGGAAATGGTTAAAAGGTTCTGTGCTATTCACAAGGTTTTTTTAATACAATAAAAATAAAAAAGGACTGGGTATATGTTATTTTCTTTTACCCAAAAATAAAGATCTTCAAAGACCTAGGGAAAGGCCTTCAGTTGGGTAGTGATTGCAAAACGACAGAGTGCATCTGATGTCAGATCAAAATGGTTAAAAAAAAAAAAAAAAAGGTCCATTTCTCACATGATACACTGATATTTTAAGGTTTGGAATAACATCTTGTTTAAGAGTAAAGGGTAAAACTCAGTTGTGATGAACAACTGTTGGAAAACCCTAAAGAGCCTGATAAATTCTGCATTTCCACTTAAAGATGTTACAATATTCAACCACAGTAAACAAAAGTGTAGTATGACAAGTAGCGATTAACGTGTATCTCTATGCCTTTCCTCATTCATCCTAAGTGAGGGCACTCTAATACAGGAGATGTGTTAGCTGGCCAGATCACCAGGTGAAAACAGAGGGGAAAAGTAAAAAAAACAGACCAGCTGTTTGTTTACACCTGACTGCCCTCCAATCCAATCTGCCCAAATGGAGGGGAACAGATCCCCTTCCATCCGTTTTTAGTGGATCGGATTAGAGGTAGGTGGGTGTAAACAGACAAGTCCGTTTACAACAGGCGCACCATAGAGGGTCCAATCAGGTCCAGGAAAAATGGACAGGGGCCTTAAACTGCTCACAGATTTTAGTGGTGTACCATGTGGAGGTATGATGTGAAGGGGGAGCTGGGGAACTTATGGGAACAGGATATGTAAGCTACCCAATCAATTTTGGAATTACTACACCCCCCCCCCAGCAGCAGCGGACTGTCAGACTGTCACAATCATGATTGATCAAAAACAGGAGCCATATCTGGTAACTAATGTGATTGGATTATCAAACATTCCAGGGAACAAGTCAAATTACTGTACTTTCAGCGCTGGTAAAATGCAACTCCAGTCAAAATGCTTTCTTTTTGAATTAAGTGGGGAAAGGGTTAAACCTGTCGGAGTTTTTTTTTGCTGTTTGTGTAGATAAATTCCGAATGTGTAAACTTTATCTTTCATTGCCACCTGATGCACGTTTCCCTAGATGGGGCAAAAATGACCGTATCAACCCAAAAGATTTCTAAGGATGTGGTTTTTCAAAGTGAGTTAAAGGATGCTACTTTATTTTCAGACTTAGAATCTACAGTAGTAGACATGTATGCCTCTGCTGAACATCTCATTGAAGAGCAAAGGACAACAAGCAAGACTGTGAATGTTACTTGAGGAATAGATCCTCCTGATGATAAAGCCTCCTACAGACAGCCAGACCACTGAAGAGTGGCTTGGGTGACACAGTGTCATGAAGCCCAGAAGCTGTGGCTGGAATAAAAGGCAATTAAAATGCCTAAAGCAGAGAGGGGAAGGGAAGCAATTGACATTTGCAAGCAAGCCATGGCAAGAAGTATGCCCCCCCCCCAAAAAAATAATTAGTAAAGCAGAAGGTTACCTTTAAAATGCATCTGTTCCCAGACTACGGATATTAAACCCTTTATACACTCATTGGACACTTTCTTATTAGGTACACCTGGTCAACTGCTTGATAACACAAATTGCTAATCAGCCAATCACATGGCAGCAACTCAGTGCATTTAGGCATCTAGATGTGGTGAAGTTGACTTACTGAAGTTCAAACCGAGCATCAAACTGGGGAAGAAAGGGGATTTTAGTGACTCTGAACGTGGCATGGTTGTTGGTGCCAGACGGGCTGGTCTGAGTATTTCAAAAACTGCTGATCTACTGGGATTTTCACACACAACCATCTCTAGGGTTTACAGGGAATGGTCAGAAAAAGAGAAAACTATCCAGTGAGCAGCAGTTTTTTGGGCGAAAATGCCTTGTTGATGTCAGAGATCAGAGGAGAATGGGCAGAGAGGTTTGGGAGGCAACAGTAACTCATATCAATATGGACCAAAATCTCTGAGGAATGTTTCCAACACCTTGTTGGATCTATGCCATGAAGAATTAAGGCAGTTCTGAAGGCAAAAGGGAGTCCAACCCGCTACTAGCAAGGTGTACCTAATAACATGGCCGATGCTTGTATATTCTTAACAAGCAGTAACATTCTGCCAGGATTCTGCTGCATTAAAATTTAATACGATTTCAAAGCCGCTCTTTGATTTAAACATACATTTCCCCACAATGCCCTTAGCTACAAAGGTAAATTAGGGCTTGTTTTAAAGTACTTTTACTCTGTGAATAGAATATGTAAATACTTTAGTGTGCATAGCCTGGCCATGCTTTATTTTAAGTTTCATGTGTGCCTAGGGCAGAACTATTTCTGGAGCCTTTGAAGATAAAAGGTATCAGTGGGAAAGTCAATCTGCTGGTGTCCACACAACTAAAATGTCACTTTGAGTTTGCCTGTTAACCGACAGAAAATATTGAACAGATCTTGAGGGTTTCACTAACCTCTTTCATAATTTTAATGGCTTCAACACGATTTTGTGGAGGAGCATACAGCAGAATGCGATGGTACAGCGACTGCAAGACTGGCCTCATAGACTCAACTGAGCCCATAAGTCGAACTAGCTCTGCCGCAATGTAATAAATAGTCCTGGCAACTGGGCCACTGAGAGCCGGAGCTGTAGAAGAACATGCTGATCCACGACCCTGATCTGCTACACCTGTTGAGTGGCAGTCAGAGTCCACACAGATGTTATTATGTGCAGAAGTTATAGTTTTGTCATGGACTGGGTTTCCAAGGATCACCACAAGAGCAGGGCATAGCTGCTTCCTGCAAAGATATAAAGCAAAAAAGTAAAACACCCTTAAAAAAAAAACAAAAAGGACGAATAAAGGGGAATTATTATATATTAATTATTAAATATGAAGACAGGTTGAACAAAAACAAAAAGTAGTAATCAGAACAACAATCATTACCCGAAACACAATAACTTCATGTTAATACTGCTACTTACCATATAAGGTCCATAAAACCTTTGTGAACATTCAAAGCAGGAGATGAACTGCTGAGCATTGATAGTATACATTCCAGGTACAGAAGCTGCAATGGGTGATTTTCACTGTAAAATAAAACAGAAAACAGAAATGATCACTTGGAAAGGTTTTGTATTACAACAAAATAAGACAATTCTCTGGGAGCCCATTCATACCTACATATGCACAATTAACACTTTACCGTGCACTGTAATGCATGTTAACTCCTAGTCCACTCCCTGGTCATCTTTTGCCTCAACTACTGCAACCCCCTTCTCATTGGATTACCTTTACATAGGCTATCCCCCTTCAGTCCATCATGAAGGCTGCTGCCAGACTCATCCACCTTACCAACTGTACAGTGTCTGAAACCCCTCTCTGCCAATCCCTCCATTGCCTGCCACTCACCCAACAAATTCAATTCAAAATACTAATAACTTATAAAGACTTGCACAACTTGGCCCCCAGATACATCACTAACATAATCTCAAAATACCAACCAAATCTTTCTCTTTGTTCCTCCCAAGATCTCCTGCTCTCCAACTCCCTTGTCATCTCCTCCTATGCTCACCTCTAGGATTTCTCCTGAGCCTCTCCCATCCTCTGGAACTGCCTACCCCAATCTGCCCAGTTTTCTCCTACTCTGTCCCTGAAAACTTTTCTCTTCAGAAAAGCCTATCCTGCCTCCACCTAACTGTACTTTTATTTTCTCCTTCAGCTTATTCCCCACAGTTATTACCCTTTGTATCACTTCTCCCTCCCCTTTTAGAATGTAACGTCTAACAAGCAGGCCTGATTCATCCTGTATTGAATTTGCCCTCACATTGTAAAGTGCTACGCAAACTGTTGGTCATATGTTGTGTCTGCTTATTCATTTGTTATGGGCCATGATGTTCAAAGACCATTTAAAACAAATGTACTTGACCCATTTTTGCCTAAAGCAACATACAACCTATTATTGCGGTACGTTAAAGGATCACATATGTTTATTGCGCTGACATTTTGGGGGCCCACAAATGGGATTCCCTCTATAACACACACACGCCATGAGTGTTTTAATGTTTGTAGTAGCTCCCATACATAGGTGGGGATCCACCCTAAATATCCAGTCAATTAGTACCAAAAAACAGAGACATGACCATATGAAATTGGAGAGTAAGTGTCAAATAGTTTTAAAAAGCTACAGAAGTTTAAAACAGGACACATATGAAAGTGGTTCAGGTCTTTTATATCTAAAAGGTTGCGTTCTCTTCCTGAAAGCTTGTCCTAAAAAAAATCTTTATTTGCACTAGCTATTAAAGCAACAGAGAGAGTCTACATGACTGGTCAATGGCAACCTCCATGTTTTTTTCAGGAAAGGCTTCCCTTTGTTGAGCAGTGGGTTCTCTTCAGATGCTTCTGAAACATACATTATGGGGGTTGATTTACAAAAAATCGGGTGCAGCTCTGCATAGAAACCAATTCACATCCAGGATTTTTTTTTGGCATAGCTAAATTGAACAAGCTGAAGATAGAAGTTGATTGGCGATCATGCAAAACTGCACCAAATTTTGCATTCTGCAGTTTTAGTAAATCAACTCCATGGAGTCTAGGATTACAGAATGGCCCAGAAATCCAATTTCCTATTTGTGCGTTTTTGCTGTTCTTCCCAGGTCAAATTTCAGGCACCCTCTGCATGAGGAGTTTAAAGTGGTTGTAAAGACTCAAGGTAAAAAACCTTCTGCGTGCAGCGTTGCCCCCAGTCCCCACCAAGTCCTCATGCACACTGGACGTTTGAGAATGCTGGTAACATTAGCTGTGTAAAGTCACGTTAAAAATGTGAGTTTTTCAGCTTTTTTAAGCGTTTTTGCATTCGTGTTTAGTGGCATTTTCTTGCATTTTTCAGCTTTTTTTTATAAAGAAAAAATTTTTGGGTAAAAAAAAAAGTCCAAAAATGCTGGTTTGCGGCATTTTACCGTGTTTTTCAGCATTAGAGTAAAAAACTCCTCTAGACACCCACTAGTCCTGGGGTTTTTTCCCGGCCAAAAAACGTTGATTACAGTCTATGTGTGCATGGACACATAGGATAACATGCTGGGGGGTTTACTAGCTGTAGAAAAAAAAAAATGTCAAAAGCCAAAAAAACAGCAGCTGTAAAAATGTCCAGTGTGCATGAGGACTAATACTCACCTGAGCCCCATCGCGATCCAGCGATGTACAGAAGAGCCTCGGCTCCCGCTGCTGTCAATCACAGCCAGTGAGCTGTGTGTGAATGGACACACAGAGCAGCAGCTCAGAAGTGAGTCTCCTTTGGTGCCCCCATAGCAAGCTACTTGCTGTGGGGGCACTCAAGAGGGAGGGGCACGGAGCAACGGCAGGGGATTTGAGAAGAGGAGGATTGGGTTGCTCTGTGCAAAATCACTGCACAGAGTAGGTAAATATGATACGCTTGTTATTTTAAAACAAGAAAAATGCCTTTAATAACACTTTAATTATTGTTGACAAACTCTTAAATGCTCATCTTCTAATAAATTGTAATGTAATGTCATTGTAATGTGATTAACATTTGCTGAGCCAACAAGGCATATGAACGTCCAAAGGTGTTAAAATGGATGACTTCATATTGTAAGATATCTAAATGCAAATTCTGATATCCACCCGTAATTCAAATTTGTTTGTGAAAGTTGTAAAAGCTACACTATGCACCCTGGAAGCAACAACCTCAGCTGCTATATTACATCATATTAGGTGGTGCAGACATACAGGTTTGACAGAAGTGCAGTGAAAATACTAATCGGTTTGCACAGGCCACTCACTGGTGAGATGAGTGGGGCATATGACCCTCGCTAATGGAAATGCTGCATAATGTCAACTGCTGATATGAGAGCCACTCCCACTTATTTCAGGCAGAGAAGGAGCCATTTGTGCAAATAGATGAGATAGAGTTGTCACTGGTTGCAGGATAGGAAGTGTGACATCCCCATTACAATACAGACAGAACCAGGTTAACTCTAAACAAAGCATTATTTACACCAGTGTGCGCCTCTTAGGACAGCTCTCAAAGTAGATTTATTACAACATTGCTTACTTTTCTTCAATATATGAAACAAAGAGTTAGGCCCCTTTTACACGGGCAGTTGTTCTGCCGCTTGTAAATGCAGGTTTTTTATTATGAAATTCCAACACTCCTGGCACACAGATCACTTGCGTTTGTACATTGCGTTTATCTGCATTTACATGCGGCTGCGTTTAGCTGCGGTAGTAAATTCTTGCCTTTTCTTAATGCAACGGTTTACTTATTTTTTTCTTTGTACTGTGATTAACTGCGTTTATGTACAAATAGCTGCGGTACATCATTACTGCACAGTCAACTTTTTCCTAAACACATAAAACAGTATGTTACGAAAACGTTGCTAAACGCAGTGTGTGAATGGAGCCATAGGGATGCATTGTCTGCATTTAGCTGCGGTAAGTTCCTCAGCTAAAAGCTGAAATCTAACTAGCCCAAATGTGCTTTAAAAGTACACACACCCTTTATGTTTGTTCACACTGCTATACAAAAACAGCAGTAATGATGATGCAGGAATAAGCGAAACTAAATATTGCTGCCACCTTAAGAGATTCAAATATCCATTTGGACATTAGAACACGAATGCAAATGATTTGCATGTTCTCCCTGTGCCTGCGTGGGTTTTTCCTCCGGGTACTCCGGTTTCCTCCTACACTCCAAAGACATGCTGGTAGGTTAATTGGCTCCTGTCTAAATTGGCCCTAATGTGTGTATGTATAGATGCGAGTTAGGGACCTTAGATTGTACGCTCCTTGAGGGTAAGGGACTGATGTGAATGTAAAATGTATATGTAAAGCGCTGCGTAAATTTACGGCGCTATATAAGTACCTGAAATAAATAAATAAAAACTACTATTAAACACATAGCACCTAGCAGGATAAGATCTCTCATTTCCTATGCAACTGCAAATACAAGGACTATACTTAAATTTATCTATGATAAACTTAATAAGTAAAAAACTTTTACGTCAATAGACAGTCAAACCCTTTCCCTGTTTATTTTAGAAGTCCCACAATACTTACTTAACAACAGCCTGCAGTTTGTCACAGAGGACAGTGAGCACAGATACAACATCATCACACAGCGACTCCACGGATGGACCAGATTCTATTAACAGATGAAATGGAAAGAGTACATTAGATTAGACACAAATGCAAAATGCAGACATAACAGGGCCGGATCTAACTTGTCTGATGTGGGGGTGCAGTAAAAAATGTCAGGGTGGCAGAGGATGAGAGATCAGCAGAGCAATGTAAAGGGGTCAGCAAGGCAGACAATAGGGTCAGCAGTTTGTTGGCCAGTGTACAAGGGCTATTAGTTTTTAGGACAGCATATAGGGGTCAGCAGGAGGGTGCACCGGAATTAGTAAGGCATTGTACTGGGGATCAGTAGGGCAGAGGACAGGGGTCACTGTGGCAGGACAGAGGACAAGAGTAGTCACTGCTGGCAAGAGAGTAGACATGCTTCAATAATGGCAGGAGAGAGGGCAGGAGTCAGTGATGGCAGGAGAGAGGTAAGGGGTCACCGCTGGCAGGAGAGAGGGCAGGGGTCACCGCGCTGGAAGTTATAGAGATTTTTTTTTAAGAAATATTGTCAATATCTAGGCTTACATATTTTGTGGTGGTTTTTTTTTGTTTATTTATTCCTCTTACTGTAGAGCACAATGTAATCAATCTTTTAAATGTGGACACTTAAAACTTGATGAAGTGCAAACCGAGTATCAGAATGGGGAAGAAAGGCATGGTTGTTGATGCCAGATTGCTGGTCTGAGTATTTCAAAAACTGCTGATCTACTGGGATATTTACACACAGCCATCTCTAGGGTTTACAGAGAATGGTCCAAAAAAGAGAAAATATCCAGTGACTGGCAGTTGGGTGGACAAAAATGCCTAGTTGATGTCAGAGGAGAATGGGCAGACTGGTTGAAGATGATAGAAAGTCAACAGTAACATCTCTCTGAGGAATGTTTCAAACTCCTTGTTGAATCTTGTTGAAATTAACACAGTTCTAAAGGCAAAATGGGGTCCAACCCGGAACTAGCAAGGTGGTGTACCTAATAAACTGGCCAGTGAGTGTAAATAGAGATTTCTGAAAAAACATTTGTGCTTTGGCAATCACAAAAGTAATGAATCAACAGCATATCATAGCCATCAATCAAAATGGTTCTTTACATCACTCATGCCAGTTTGAGCATGATCGGAAGTGACATCACTAGGTTTCACCAGACATGGTGCATCACAGGTCACGTGACTTCTTCAGGTTGACTTCGCGGGACTTCTTTACCCTGAAGAAGTCACGTGACCTGTGAAGCAACTTCGCACAGAGCCTAGTGATGTCACTTCCGGTCTTTCTCAAACTGGCATGAGTGATGTGAGGAACCATTTTGATTGATAGCGATGATATGCTTTTGATTCATTACTTTTATGAGTGCATTTTTTACTTGAATAAAGTGTTCATATTTTATGGGGTTGCACTATGATCTATTCCCTTTATATTTGATCATATACACCTTAATTCCACTGGATATCCGAGAGCATGTTCCCTTAAAGGGTCAGAACTAACAAATTAGCTACTAAGGACTGGCAGTGGATAAGGAGAATCTGCTTTCATCCCTAAGTGTGTATGACCTATCAGTTAGCTCAGGGAAGAAGGCGAGTGCATGGTGCACCTACCCGCTGATGGGAAACACCACAATATAGTCGGCACGGAGGAGTAATGCATAAATGTTCACCATAATTCAGAGTCACATATAATTTGTTTAATGTGAGTGGATATTGTAGCACATTTAATTTTTGGTTATACAAAATGGTGTTGCACTATAGTATGTTTTTGTTTTATTTTGCACGGATCTGGAGTTTAAAGAAGCATACTACGTGGAAGGGACACGTCATAGATCAGAAATTTTGGAGTCACATTTTCCTTATAAAGCATGTTTATGGCCTTTTATAATTTCTAGGTCAATGGTCAAGATGAGCAGGGAGTGGGGCCACAAGTCAAGCACGGTGTTGATTATGGCTGGATGTTAATGAAACATATACTGGATTGGACATTTATTATTTGTTACTTTTTTTGGACTGTCACTTTATGCTTTCAAAGCTTATGGTTCTATTTATGAGGAGATAGCGCACCACATTTTTTTCATTTATTTATTTTGAGTGTGAGTACACCAGAGGAGTGAGTGCAGCAATCTTCTTCCCTGATATTATTACTATAGTTGGAACAAAGCAGCGCATAGGTCTTTACCATTTGCACTTTCTAATCTATATTACATATCAGCATGCAGTCCATTTTGGCTACTTGATAAATATGTGCATATATGCTGCATTAAAATCAGTAGAGCTAAACTAGTCTAAACCACCCTAATCTGCAGAACATTCTGAACACTCTATGAAGGAAGTAGGACATTTTACGTCCTACTCTCAAACTCCTCCGCCTCTGATACTTCTAAAGGGAACAAGCTTTGGCCCTATAGAATACATTGTACTTCAGAAATAAAGATGATCTGGAAGGTGAAAGTCTTGTTGCGCATACAGAATGGGGGCAGAGAGGGATAAGACAGCCATATAGAAGTAGAATATATAAATTCAATTGTCAAAAAAACTATATACAAAGTGATAAACAACCCCCAGAGAGGCTATGTTAGGATCTGCCATGGCATGGACTTACAGAGAACAGTTTTGTCAGGAATCTGGATTCTCTGGAGTGTAGCCAGGGAAGGAGTGGGTGGGTTCCCTGGACATTACACTGCAACAGTCCACCACATGATTTTCATCCTAATGAAAGATCCAGGTGAATTGTTCAAAAGGACCGGGGAGAGAGATCGGAAAATGTGTGCTTCTGTCTGCAAAGTTAACAGACTGGTGGATACATGTCAACAGTGTGAAGTTGTACTGAGCATGTAAAAAAAAAAAAAAAAAAAAAAAAAAAAAAAAAAAAAACACAACAACAACAACACCTTTGTTGTGCTGGATAAATGTATGTGTTAACAGACATTTATCACATAATTAGTGTGACTTTGCTAGGGCTACATAACCCAGAATAATAGTGAGCTTTAAAGTCCTGATTTTGATACTTCATTTTGGGCATTTCTAATGGGAGACCCATATGTGCAGGTTTAAATGTTCTAGTATAGCATAAACAAAACTATAGCTTACGCTGCGCTAAAAAATAAAATAATATCACAAACATAACCCATAATTCATATGAAAGAAATCCACACCAATTCATGCTAACTTCCCAGTTCACAGTTAATTGTTAACTTTGTGAGATTTAAACAAACCACTTTAATAACTTAGGCTAGTCAACAGTAAGAAAACTGGTATTTTGTATAGTTACTCACAGTACCTAATATAATGTAGCACAAAATATCCAACAACATCCAAAGTCCAAAAACAATAAATCAGAAGCTGTCTTTTATAGCTCGGATTCCTCTAAATCAATAAAAGGTGAAATATTTGAGATCATTAATATGTGATACTATACATTAAGACTGTCAAAACTGTCTTATTAAATGACCCACCTGATGTTCACTGTGTGACAGGGAAACAATAATCTGCCTTCTATATATACAAATTTATTTATGTTAAAGAACAAAATATAAAATTTTTTATCCATGAATGAGTGGATTTTCTAGGGTTAATGCTATAGCTACACAAATATTATCCACTGATTTACTATATTTCTGCCGTTTTATTTTCCAAACTATTGCACCCATCATCTTTTACAGGCAAGAAGCATTCAAAAGCACACTAGAATAGTTTTGCTGATTGATGTGCATTAGACGCCAACTTGGCTTAAGTTTTTTCAGCTTGGTAGAGTATTCAACGCAAAAACCAGGATGCTGACCCCACCCTATAACACATCATTAGAAAACTTCAAAAATAGCAATCACCTAGCAGAACTGTCACAGCAATTGCACAGAGAATTCAAAGTCACAGAATAATGAATGTAGGAGTTTGTTGGATCGAATCGGAATTAGATAAATCTTGAACATTACAAAATTCATTTAGATTTCTAAACCGTGTTAATTAACATAGCACTGCTTTGTTTTATTACTACACACAGCACGTTGTAAGAAGGTAAACATTGATATTGAGTGAATCTCTGGTTTCCCTTTTAGATATGTGTGCAGAATGGACTTAGGCGATGTTTTGTAAATAGAAATGAACTCTATTGTACAGTTACTTCCAGTTTTAAATAGGCCTGAAATCCATTAAATGTTATGAATGGGGAAAAAAGTAGATCCCAGCTGAAAAAATAAAGCTATAAAGCCTTTGACTAATCTAATAAAACAGAGCTCAGTTTAAAAAGGTTGATATTAGTAAAAAAAAAAAAAAAAAAAAAAACTATCAGGTCACACAGCCAGAGAGAATTAATCTCCTCTACTCTTAGCCTACTTTCCTTTTAATATAGAATACTAAAGTAACTGACCCACATAAAAGACAACTGCAAAATACCTTGGCTCCTGAATTCCAGTAATGCTTCCTGGATTTCAGTATTCTATTGAGAAAAAAAAAAAAAAGGAAGATATATATCAATCACAAATGATAGAATTTCAGTATTCTGTTGAGATATTACAAATATTACCCTAATATCCTAACCCTCTTGTATTGAACTGTATTGTTGCTGTACTGTTTCCCTTTATATTGTAAAGCGCTGAGCAAACTGTTGGCGCTATATAAATCATGTATAATAATAATAAAAACCCCAATTCCAAAAATGTTGGGAGGCTGTGTAAAATATACATAAAAACAGAATGCAATGATTTGCAAATCTCATATACCCATATTTTATTCACAATAGAAAACATATCAAATGTTTAACCAGTTGTCGCCCGGCCTATAGCCAGATGGCGGCCGGGCAACAGCTCATTCCTCCAGGTGGACGCAATATGGCTTCCTTTCACGAACGCACATTGCGCATGCCCGGAGGGCTGTGCTGCGGCACGATCTGTCACCGGCTGTGTACCTTCGGAAACGGCCGATGACAGATCTGTGTACCGGCCCCGTTGCTAGTACCATGTGACCTGCTGTGACCAATCACAGCAGGTCACATGACAGTTTTATACAATGGATGGCTTCCTTTCATGCCATCCATTGTATACAAGTGTGTCTAGCTGTGAATGGTCACAGCAATCACATGCACAAGCTGGGCCAATCACAGCCCAGCTGTGTCATGTGATTAGCCGTGGCCAAATCACAGCTAAGCACAAAGAAAAAAACCCCTGAATGAATCGATTTCATTCAGGTAAATGCTTACTTATAGCAAAGTATTTCTTTACTATAAGCAAATTGTGTAAAAAAAAAAAAAAAAAAATACTGATCACTTCCCAAAAGTAGTACAATGTTATATGGTAACAGACTACTTTGGTCATAGTGAAATATGAACAAAAAAATCTTTAAAAGAGAAAAAAAAAATGTAATAAAAAATGAAAAATAATAAAAAAAAATTTAAAAAAAAATCATTTTTTTTTTTGTACCGTGACCAGTCAGTGTCCCTGATCCCCGCCATGCCAGTTATATGCTGACGCTGTACTGCACTGGTGACTGTATGTTAAAAAAAAAAAATTGTGAAAAATCATTTTTTTAATTTCTTAGTTTTCTGAAAAAATGACAAAAAAATTACAACTTCAAAAAACTCGCCTTTATAAAAAACATCGGACTGTCTACTTTGCAAAAAGGGGTCATTTGGGGGATATCTGTACTGTTCTGACATTCTTGGACCTCAACAAATTAGATTGGCTGTCAGTACTTCAGGATTGATCAATTTTCAGATATATCCCATAGTTTGCAAACGCTATAAACATTCGATATAGTTTCTATTTTCTATTGTGAATAAAATAGGTGTTTATGAAATATGCAAATGATTGCATCCTGTTTTCATGTAGATTTTCGAAAAACATCAACATTTTTGGAATTGGAAACAAGTAACACAATAAATATATCCTGTTCATTAGCCATTGAGGTGCTGTATCCTTTCTTTCTTGTGGGTTTTTTGTAGGTTGTAAAACAACAACTAAAAATGCAAAAGCTGCTCCCTGTGTGTTGATAGGATGATTATTAGTTATTTGTACTGTTTAAAATGCAGCAACTCGCTTGAAGTCCAGCTCTAGGCAATTTTTATATATTTTAACTAGTCTCTTTGAAAAAAAAAAAAAAAAAAAAAAAAAACATTGCAATACTCGCCACCATTCCAGTGCTGTCCCCCACAGTAATCCCATTCAGCCACTAGATGTCCTAACCTCATTCAAGCATGGTATACCGAATTTGTACATTTCTAGCATAGTTTCATATTCTGTATGCCTTAGCAGTCTTATGTTAGGTACTGATGTCTTTCATCTTCATTAAATGTGCATGTAACTTTAGGTGTGCTGGCCCTGTTTCTACTATTTAAAACTTAAAATTGTAGTAGACTACTACAAGTACAGAACCCAGTTGACCAGCATAACACTTGAAGAAAGAGTTCAGCAAAAGGTAGCATTTTGATATTTTTGCCATGACAATTTTCCCTTAATAAGTATCTTGTTTTTTGACATTTTTACACAATGGTGTCCAAGCCATGACTTTATAAGAAAAGATGACAAAAAAATTGAAATGAATTCTCACCGGGCTGTCTTGCTTCTGCCGTAACTGTAATGTCAGGTCACTTAACATTTGACTGAGTGTGGCTCTCACAGCTGTGTTAATACTTCGCTGATGACAGCTTGAAACATAGGTTTCAATACAAAGCTGGGCAGAAGACAGAAAAGACATAACTCAACCAAACAAAGAACCCAAGTGTGACCCAAGTTTACACTAAATGAATACAACTTTTGCACACCTATATATAATTGCAATACAAGGACTAAAAAAAATTAAACAAAAAGAGAAATGGGTGCCAAATACCCAATGGAGAAGTTTTCCCTATCATTCCATAGATAAATGGAAAGCAATGGATAACAAACCCTCAATAAGTTAATTTTTTTATGCTATTGTATAAAAAAGTGTGTATGTAAAGTAAAGTGGTGACATTATATTGTGTATAAAACCAGTGGTCTCCAATCTGGCCTCAGGGACCAGATGCAGCCTTTTTGCATACCTTTAGCTGGCCCTTGAGGCACTATTTTCCCACTGACACCAATGATAGAGTACTATTCCTCCCAATGATAATAGTGATGGAGCACTGTTCTTCCCATTGACACCAATAATGGAGCAATATTTCTTCCACTTACACCAATGATAAAGTAGTATTCCTCCCACAGAAACCAATGATAAGACACTATTCCTCCTACAGACACCAATCATGGGACACTATTCCTCCCACTGACACAAAATGATGGGACACTATTCCTCCCACTGCAAGTGTACAATCTAAACGCATGCGTTCCTGCGTTAAAAATGGCTGTGTGTATAAGTGGGTGCTGCAGCGATCGTCGGCTGGAACCAAACAGAATCAGCAAGGGAGAATGTCACCAGCACACCAAGGATCACCAATATGGGTCCAAATGTTTTAATGAACAATCACATAGTTACAGCAAGGCAACGTTTCGGAGTCTTGCAGGACCCCTTCATCAGGCACGTGATGGATGAAGGGGTCCTGCGAGACTCCGAAACATTGCCTTGCTGTAACTAAGTGATTGTTAATTAAAACTTTTGGACCCATATTGGTGATTCTCGGTGTGTTAGTGACATTCTCCCTTTCTATTCCTCCCATTGACACCAATGATGGGACACCAATATGGGACACTATTCCTTCCACTGACACCAATGATGGGACACTATTCCTCCCACTGACACCAATGATGGGGCACTATTCCTCCCACCGACACCAATGATGGGGCACTATTCTTCCCACGGGCACCAATGATGGGGCACTATCCTTCCCACTGACACCAATGATGGGGCAATATTCCTTCCACTGACAGAAATGATGGGGCACGATTCCTCCCACTGACACCATTAATGAGGCAGCATACCTCCCACTGACACCATCAATGGGGAACTATTCTTCCCACTGATACTATCAATGGGGAACTATTCCTCCCACTGATAGCAATTATGAGGCATTGTTTACTCCCACTGGCCCTCCTAAAGCTTGAAGGGCAGTATACTGGCCCTTTGTTTGGAGACCCCTGTTATAAACAATGCTATACATATAACAAAGTATACACATCAGATCCAGTATAAAGAAAAGTGGCACATACACGGAGAAGTCTTTGTCTAAAAAAGGAGGGATGTTTCAGGATGCAAGCCCCCTTTTAAGCAGAAACCTACTGCTCTGTCTCGGGTGAAGGGGAATTGCACCACAAAACTTCCCTATTTTGAGACCTTACACCCCTCTCCATCCACCATCCTTTTATCTGGGGTAGCACTGCTTGTTTCTTTGTGGCATTTTAACTTGTGAAACAACACACGTGCATTAAACACAATGCACATGAATGTCAAAGTGTGAATGGGCCCTTAGGAATGTGAACATTTATGCTCATTGGTTCAAATCACAATATTCTAAGCCATGTTAGGACCAGGAAAATTAGAATATGCCTTGTGTAATACTTCACCCTACCAGGGGCATCACCAAGGGGGGCAAAGCGTTTGTGCCCACAAGCTCCAGTGATGGAAATTTGACCTGTATGCAGATTTGCGGTTTCAATGCAATAAAGGGAAAAAACTGCTGCACCTGAATTTTGACCTTCCAGACATTTTAAAGCCAACTCCAGCTGCAGGTATGCAGCAATTAAAGGCCTCATTCACAGTTTTTTGTAAACTTGAGTGAAAATTCACTGCAATGATTCAACCACATGGAAAACAAAATCCTGTTTATTTCATTTGCACATTATTGGGTATTCAAAGTAAACACGGCTATAGTTTGAGTGAAGATTTTCATCCTCCTTAGTAAATCAGGCTCAATATATACACAAAAACACATTAAATAAGATCATTTTTTTTACATTTCTGTCCCTTATTGGCCAAAAGTATATATAATATCTAGTCCTATGTTGGATGCTTCCTAACCCTAACTTAGAGGTCCAAACTGCACAACCCCCCCCCCCCTTTCCTCCACTGCAGCCAATCCAACAACAGCTAGAAAGGAGACAGCTGCTTCTTAAGGGAATCTTGCCTCGGTTCAGAGCACTTTTCCCCCCTCCCTCAGAGCACTTTTCCCCCCTACCTCAGCATTCCCCTTGCCATTACATGCCTCAAGAAAGTGCTCTAAGCTGAGACAAGCTGCAGTTATGAAGCTGCTGTCTCCTTACCAGCTGTTGTCGGATTGGCTGCGGCTGGAGGGTAGGGAATGCAGGACCTCATAGCTAGGGTTAGAAAGCACCTAGCAACATGGGATGAAGTACTACATGTACTTTGACCCATAAAAGGGAAAGAACTGTAAAAATAATAATGAAAGATCTCCTTTAAATACTATTAAGCAATATAAATAAGTAAATAAAAACCATGTGGCATTTCAACACATGATACCTCTAGGAGAGCAGTGGGCTGCAGAGGACCAGGGAAAATACGACCACATAGAACAAACAGGATTTGTGCAATGGAAGCTCTTATTTCATGCAACTGAGGAGATCCTGATTTATGGCATGCCAAACACAACTACAGATGGAAAAGTAAAAAGACAAGGGATAAAAGCATAGCACAACAGACAAGACAAAGACGGGATGTACTTATAAGGGTTCAAGTGAACTTATACAAAGACTTCTTGGTACAAATCATTTAATATAAAAGGTGCAAAATAAATAAGATTATGCAAAATAAAGACTGGTCACTTAGAAAATAAGATAATACAGAGCAGCAATTTGGTTATAGCTATAGATAATCTATACAGCATAATGTGGCCATATATACTCTATACACTTAAAACCTTTAAACACATCCCGTAGAAACCTTTAATTCTATTGTAGGAGGCAAATCTTTCTAGTATAAAAAGGACATTTCTAGATAATAGAATATTTATGCACAAATACACTACTTAAATGTACATTTTACTCATACTTTGCTTGCGTAAGCAAATTCATATTTTTCTCTTATTGACAATATATTAAAATGTTCTACAACACAAATATCACACAGTAATAGGTAATAACAGTCATTCCTAAAATTTGGGGTACTTTCCCAAATGAACAAATACCTTTATGGGAACTAAAATATTTCCTTTAGATACTACTAAGGCATTTGATAGTATTGAATGATCCTGTTTATGGGTAGTGATAGAAAAGTTTCATTTTGGCCTTAGAAAATTGAAATCTGTTCAAATACTGCATCAGGATTCTTGTTTTCAGAGTAAATCACAGTGCCCTTTGTCTCCTCTATTTTTTAATTATAAACCACTAGCCACGACAATTAATCCGGGCTTACTGTAGATGGTTCAAATCTGCTGAATGCTGAACAGGCCGAGATTCGAACCATGTATAGGCAGGCTGAATGTACCCAAGTTGATCAAAATCGATCAACTTGGGTACAACCAGCCTGCAAAATTTACATACTATTATTGCTAGCGGCTGTTATAGCCGCTAGCAATAATCACTGTCTTCTCCCGGTGCAGATGGCTGCCCCGCCTGTCTTAGATGTTTTGTACATTATAGCATTACAACAGGGCTATATGTAAAAAAATTAGCATTGTATGCGGTTGACATGCTCTTTTCTTTTTAGGAGACACTGGTCATTCCTTGGAAAATGTTATGACTAGAATATATACCGTACCTCTGGCCATTTCCCAGGGTTGCTAATTAAATTACAGTAGGTCTGCATTATTGTCTATGGAATTGAAGTCAACTTTACCTTAGATGGTAGATCTGAACTCATAAATGATTTGGATGTACTTCACAAATGCTCTGGTATGTGCAGAGCACTTATGGAAAAATTAATGTATGTATAGAAAAAGGTTGTGTATAGAAACATTACAATGCTCAATAAATGAGGGAGGTATAGCCACCCATAATCCATGGATTTATTGTTTAGCTGCACAAGTGCAACATTTATGGTCAGGATAAGAGGATTCACTCTTTGGGGCTGATTTACTAAAAGCAGGTAGGCTGTTCCCTTTGTTCAGTGACTTCCATCACTGAACAAAAATATGGTTTTGTTTTTTGTTTTATTTTCCTTGCAAGCGATTGAGTATCTGTTGCAAAGTGAATTTCACCACATTCATTAAGGTAACAGAAAATTCCCTTGGAAAGTAAGCAGCCTATTTGCCTTTTGTAAATCAACCTCTATATCAGTTATTAAGTGTGTGTGTGTGGGAGAGGTGGTGCTTTTGAAAGCTTTGGAGAAAGAGGATTTTAATACCGAGAGACATTTTGCTGTACTTACATCTGCAGCATCAGGTTTTACACCACTCCTGGATGCATGTAAATTTCACAACTTGACTGTCAGCTTTCAGACTCCCCTCCATGTTTTCTGGGCTCCACTGTCCCATCTGAGAACCTGGAACTGGCATAGCAGGTGTCACAGATTGGGGAAAGGGAGAAAAGAAAAATGTCCATTAGCTTATCTTCCCTAGCGATTGAGAAACCGGAAGTGAAGTGCATTGGACCACTTACAGTTTCAGTGGTCTAATAGACACCAATCTGCGCATACCAATGTGAGAGCAATAATTCTAAGGCCATCATTTACAATTAATTCTGAACTGATGACCTATAAAGTCTTTTATAGCATTGTCTGAAAAATGTTGTGTTTGTTGCCGTTTCATGGGCGCACACAATTTTAGGGTTTGACATGTTTGGTTTCTATTTACTCGGCGCAACCTCATTGTTTATATTTTACTTTAAAAAATGGGGTAATCTAAACTAATATCATTTGACATAAAAAAAATTTGAACTATCACCATTTTATTCTTCAGGGTCAGTTTTCAGAAAATATGTTTGGAGGTTTTCATGAATTTTCAGGCCTAAAATGTGCATCTTAACATGTATGCATATAATGCAAAACTGGCTCTGGCAGCATGGGGGTTAAAGACAGCTTGTATTTAAAATCATTCTTATTTTCATGGCCTCCTATAATAGAATTGATTAGCAACGCATACAGATGAGTGCTGGGTTAATTGAAAGAGCTTAAAGCAGAACTCCAGGCAAAACATATTTTATGGATTGAATGAGCAATCATCTAATGTAACAGTAGATGGGGAGATATAACCCCCACAGACAGCAAAAATAAATAACTTTTGTCAGAAGTTCAACTTTAGGAGTTCATATTAATGCATTATTAGAGCAGATGAAGGTAAAAATTGAAGACAACACTTGCACACTAACTGAAATGGCATGCTTAAACCTAAAACATACCTCTGCAATCTTCAGGACTGAACTCCCATTCAGATCAAAGGTTGATGTATAGGTTATGCACAGGAGAACCTGCAAATGGGTAGGACAAACAATTTAAAAAATGTAAACGCTTACCAAAAACATAAGTGATCCTTGGGCTTTCACTCCACCCAATTTAGAACTAAAAGGACATTCAGAGAGCAATGTTATCAGAAGGGTGAACATTTGTGCATAAAACACCCCCCATGTCTTTCAAATGAAAAAGTTGAAATTTGACATCCCACTCCCAAGCCATGGGCATTAATATGGAGTTACACTCCCCACCTCCTTTATACGCCAACCTTCTGGGAAATATTCCCAAAAGATTTTATATTGTAATGATAGCAATTGTGCTCAATTAGCCAAACAAAATAATTTGTGAAGTCGGAGTTGAATTTGGTTGCTCAATGAAAGAAGGATGCAGGAGTGAGCATTGGATAGTTACTTTGGGGAAGATTTCAGGATGCAGATGTCAACCACATCAGTGACACCATGTTACTAGGACAGCGAGAGAGGAGAAACACTAAAATAAAGATATCTTTACAGAATAGGGTAAAGCTATAAATCCCATAAATGTTTTATTATGGTCGGTGTCCCTGTTGGGGATTCACCCTCTCTTAAGCTGGTAATACTCTAGTAGAATTGTATTTGAAATTTTTCATTTTAAGAACAATTTGTTTTTCTAATCATTAGTGGGGTCAGATCAGTGCTAGTTTTCAACCATAATACGAGAGGATGAAAAAGGAGCAGGATGAAACGTTTTTCTCAAATGAACAAATTTCAGCTTTTTTTCTGTTTAGGAAATTACATTCACTCCAAAATCAAATGTGAAAAGTAAACAAAATTTTGCAGCAATTTTGAACAACATTCGTACAAATAATTTTCATACTGCTGTTCATACTAATATATTTGTATGAACATTCGCTTGAAATTCTACTAGTGTAAAGCCAGCTTAACTGTCGTACACTTTAAATCGATCCCGTTACTTTGCTCTGCACAGGCAGGATGGACTTAGCAGTGAAGAACTGTTGATTATATATATATTAATTCTCTCCATTTGCCCAAGGTTGCTTGCATAGTTCAAGAATTCATAACCCAATCACTGAAAATCTCATATCAGCTTTAATATGTTGTTATAAATTAAAAAACACAAAAAACAAAAACAATAAAAACACCACACACACTCTCTGATCTACCTTAGCTGAACAGTGATTGTATATTATTATATATATATATATATATATATATATATATATATATATATATATATATATATACTGTATATATTTTACAGACACACACATAGATACATACACATATACTGTATATGACCGCACATATATTGAAAAATGGGGGTGACTCAAATTGTCTAAAGCCCACTAAGTTGAAACATAAGGATGTAAATATGAATGCAAATATAGACATAAAAATTATCAAGTAGGTTAAAAAAGTTGAGTAAGGAGGCAAGGTCAAGCCTCTGAAAAAGAGTCCCCATCGGCTACAGAGTCCCAGGGTCTGACAGGTCATTTGACAGCTTCTGACAGCTCTCTCGTGACAGCTCCCCGGTGTAAAGTCCAGATTACTGCACCACTTCCCACAGAGGCTCGGATATCCAGCGGTACCCACCTGGATTGAACTCTCTCACGATCGTCCCACCTCAAGTTACTATATCCCTGTCAATTCGAACATTTGTGAGTGCATTTTAATTGTATATTGAGGTTCTTCTTAAACTGAGCTACACTATCGGAGGCTTGGCAATTTTTTTTTCCCCATTTCCTTCTGTTATAATTTCAATTTGAAATGTGCACCTTTTCTTAAAATATTCCTCCCACATGGTCTTCGGACTCTCCCATTCTTACCGGGATCCTGGGACCACGACCACTGGCTTAAAGTGGTAGTAGAGTCCCGTTTTTTGGGGGGTTTTTTAAACCTACAGGTAAGCCTATAATAAGACGTACCTGTAGGTACAATAAATATATCTCTTAAACTTGCACCGTTTAGGAGATATTTACTTTAGTAGCGCCAGTGATGCCACCAACACATACACACTGTGCTCTCAATGGACGGCGCATCGTGGCCGATACTCCCACACACTGTGTTCTCCATTGAAAGAGCCATGGTCGATACTCCCGCAAATGCAGGGGAGTGACATTATCACAACTGGGCCAGTCAAACGGCCACAGCTAGCAAACCTGGAAGGAAGACCAGGTGAAGATGGAAACCCCAGGGAGCTGTGACAGCGCCCTGCTGGAGGGCTTCGTTTTCAGGCAAGTTTTTTACAATGTGCTAGTATGTGATGCATACATGCACACTATGCTCTTAACTTGCAGGGAGAAGATTTTTCACTACTGCTTTAAAAGCGGAGTTCCACTTACTCTGTAAAAAAATAAAAGTGAGCAGCTACAAAAACTGTAGCTGCTGACTTTTAAAAAACAGTCACTCACCTGTCGGACAATCCCGCGGTGCCCCCGCTGCAGCCCGATTCACATCTTCAGTGTGGGCACCCGGCTGTGACAGCTTGTAGCTTCACAGCCGGGTGCCAACCGCACATGCATGAGTAGCACTGCGCTTCCTGAATGGCCCCATCATCTTCTGGGTCCTGTCACATGTCCCACAAGTCTATGGGGAGGGAGGGTAGGAGGACAACTTCCGCTTCCGATTGCCTAGGCGATCGCAGCGCAAGTGGGAGCGGGTACCTGTCAATTTCGGGTACCCGCTCCGCAAAGGTGCCATTCCTGAACTCCACTTTAAGGATGGAGAGTGGTGTGAGAGTGTGACATATCCATGCCTTAATCTCACATGTAAAAGAAACAGGAAAAAAAGTTTAAAATAATTAAATTTATAATAAAATGTGTGTGTATGTATGTATGTATGTATGTATATATATAAAATTACATTGCCCCAACCCCCTGAGTGAGCACTGGTATGCGTATGTAAACCGCGGTCGCACCACATGTGCAATTATTGCTGCATCACAATAATTCTAGCACAAGAGCTCCTGAGTAACTGGATAATCTGATGAGCTGTAAAGGCTGTTAAAATTTCACCTATGGAGATCTTTGGGTACCATAGTTTTTATGCAATATCACGGGTGCATGCAAATTTTAAGACTTGGCATTTTGATATTTCTTTACTCAATGCAAAAAAAAAAAAAAAAAAAAAAAGATAGATATTGTGTGTTTACACTAAAATTAATTTTATTATATTGTTACCTAAAAATTTGCGATTACTAACAGTTGTGCAAATATCATGTGTTTATTCTGCAGGGCCTCTGCCTTCATATAATTTAGAATGTTCTGGGGGGGTTAAGTATTTTTTGGCCAAAAATGAAGATTTTTACATGTGTGTGCAAAACATTTAAAAAAGAAAAAAAAAAAAAATGTGCTCTCGATTTACAATTCACAAAGGCTGCTGTGTCATCGATATGCATGTTATATTTATCAATCTTGAATAAAGCCTTATAAAACAAAACAAAAGGCAATGGTTTATGATGTGCAGTGTTTGTGCAAACTAAACATCATTCAGGAAGGGGCTACATCTACTATAATACACCTGGCTAATAATGCTTGCATAATTTATCTCCAGTACTAGATTGCAGAGAGTAGAATACAGGCAGTGTTCCAGCAGACCCAAGCTCATCTTTTTTTTTTTTTTTTTTTTTTTTACAAAAGTAAGCTTAATCCTGTTTGGTTGTACAGGGACATCAGCCCAGGTTTAGCATACCAGATGGCAATGAGCCAACAGGTTATTCTGGTTCCTAAGCACACTTTAACTATTGACTTTCCAAGAGGAGACATTTGTTTAAACTCAATTATCTGATCAGAAAAGTAAGCACTACTTTCCAGTCTCTCCAGTTCACACAGCATTTATAGCAAGTAAATGATGTGTATGTGCTGAAGGCAAACAAAATCTTCCATTTAGCACATAAGCATGTATATTCAATTTCAAAAAGATCTTTAAACATTTTTTAACACAGCCCAAAATTGCAAAGGGACTAGGATTTATTTCTCTTTTAGGATTGTGTTATCACTAAGCCAGCATGTCAATGCAGGAAAAAGATTTTGACCCAAGAACAGGAGTTCAATTCGAATATGTGCATTTTTTCTATAAAATGTACTTATTACACTTTCACTTGCCCTCCTAAAGAGTAAACCATGTGAAACAAGCTCCTGCCTGCAGTAACAGCAGTCAGCTCCTTTCAATTTTGATCAGTTGGCACTGGGATGTATAGCCACCTGATCACTTTTATGGTGACTGGTGCATACTGTTCAACATTCCCCCCATATTCCACCCCAGGAGGTTCCCAGGCTTTTCCACTCCACCCGGGAGCACAACATCTACTGTTAAGATGGTGGAAACTTTGGTTTTCCTAACTCCTCTGCAGCAACGTGAATTTGAAGTACTCAGTTCAGAGAACTTCTGATGCAGAGCTGTCAAAATCACAGCTGTTGAAATCCTGTGCTCAGTCAGATGGAGCAGAGGGCAGGGGAGACTGTAAGGGTCTAATAGACTCCCTGATAGCTTGTTAGCCCCTTGTTAAAAAAAAATAAAAATTAAAATAGCTAAAAAAAAAATCCTTAGTTAGACTTATCAGTGACGGTATTTCTAGGAGCCCTTCAGGACAGCACCTGGAGAGAGCGCAGCTACACCCATAACACAGGAAACACCGCATCTTAAAAGTCCGCCTCTTCCACCATGTCCTCAGTTATAGCCGAGTAACCTCTGACATGCTGGGGGTTAGAGACTGCTGTCCTGAAGGGCTCCTAGAAATACCATCACCGGTATGTCTAACTAAGGATTTCTCCCCTCGCCCTTCAGGACAGCACCTGTAGAAGATAACGGAGTACCTTACCCATAGGGTGGGGCCACCGCTTGCAGGAGCTTCCTGCCAAAAGACTGGTTTGTCACGGCCAACAAATCCACTTTATAATGCCGTAAAAATGTGGAGAAACTGGACCATGTAGCCGCTTTGCAAATCTGTTTTGGAAATGCACCAGCCTTTTCAGCCCAAGAGGCCACCATCGATCTTGTAGAGAGTGTGCTGCAACCTC